GTAAGAATTCAGCAAGAGTATTCAGCAAGACATGAATGAAAGCTGAATCAAATCATGGAATGCTATTTTTCTAGCTGCAATAGGTTGATTTTAGAAAAGCACCTGAGCAGGAAACCGTCTCAGTTGAAGGTACTCTTGCAAAATATCCAACATCATGACCATCTGGGAGAATATCAGGACGCGATGGCCAGTATCCTTCAGGCGACATAGCAATTTGTCCAACAATATTAGTTTTCCAGAGGACTTCAGCAGTTGCTGAAAGTGATCACAAAAGTCATGAACAGAAGTTAGGACTGGAAAGAACATCATGAAATCAGTTTTGACTTTGAATTCAAACAAAATCATACTATAAACTCACTTGTAAACGCGCTTGCGGGTCGTTTTCAAAATGGTCGTATTGCCGAACAAGTGAGGTATGATTGCAACACTTCTTCAATTCCATCACGAGGTTTACAAAGCCATTAATGGACCCTGAATTTGAAAATTCCAGCTGACAACTGCATCTGAACAAACACAGGTATCAAGGTTCGTACCTTTCACTCCCTTCGACAGTTCACGATAATTTTTCGTCAATATCCATTTGTAATATTGCTTCTGCTGAGCGGTCATGTCCACTCGCAAGATCTGCTCAAGCTGAAAGGAAAACAAAATAAATGCATTCTTCTTTATTGGGATCACCATCACCATCAAAGGTGTAGGTGTTGCATTGGAATAATAAATGAAAGAGCTCTAAGAGTGACCTTTGGTGGAAGACTCTTCTCAACATCCTTCTTAACGCGTCTCAAAAGGAATGGCTCCAATTTGCGATGAAGTGCCGAGATTCCTCTGTGATCCTTGTCACTATGACCAGCTTCAAACTCAGGCCAGCTCGCAAATCTAGAACATTAACTTTGAATGTAGATGAAAGTGTCACTTTGCACGAAATTTGATTACTCTCACCTCACCAAGTAACGTTCTAGATCAGACAATCCCCTATTTTTATACATTTAAAATTCCATTCTCTAGTTAAACGGTTGTGGTTCGCGGAGAGAGAGCGATTTTCCGCTTTCAGCACGCGAAACTTTTTCGCTGCAAGAATCCCGGGCCCGCTCTTCATCAGTGGTGGAACCTGGAGATCATGGAGAAAAAATTTCTAGCTGTAAAGAGCGGAAAAGTTTCTGTCCTAGCGAACCACACTCCAGATACACTGTAAGCCGTATACTGTGCTTCCACGAAATGCTTGCCGAAATGCGCCATTTGCCGCCACACCTTCTCCACGCGGCGTGAGGAACTCAGACATAGAAGTGATAGTGGCCTGATTGCGAATATAAACTTCTTCCTAATTATCCAGCAACGCAGAAAAAGGATCACCATTCACTTCAAAAAATTAGGCCTATCAAATCGAGCCCAGTCTCTATAAACGGATTTCTTCAATCTTTTTGAAGCATATCATAGACAGAAGCTGGGAGAATTGTAAGGAACGAAGTCGCAGAATCCAGGGCTGCATCTAACTGCTATCTATAAGCCACCGGTGCAGACTTGTATCGGGATTTGCGTAGCGCTATACACAGCTCTTATTTTTGTTCGATTCTGTTTTCATTGAATAAAATGAATAAACATACTTCTCGGGCATGATGAAATGCAACAATGCCCAGAGTTCCTTCAGCGAATTTTGCAACGGAGTGCCAGTTATCAGAAGACGATGATCGCAGTTAAACGAGGAGAGGCAGCTGTACAGCAACGACTCGTCATTCTTCAACCGATGAGCTTCGTCAACAGCCAATGCTGCCCATTGAAAACTGCCCAGAAAAGGCTGAAAACATTTCGTTGAGAAATCTTAGTAGAGTCATACCATAAACTATCCACACAATGTAGAGATAAAATCAAACTAAAATGTATTATGGTGTGAACTGACCTGACCTTATCTTTGAGAAGGATCTCATAGGTAGTAAGAACTGCATTCACTTTGATTTTCTTTGTACCAGCTATGTACCACTCGAACTGTCGAATCTGAAGTGGGAGGTTTCTGCTGATTCATTATGGGATATAGTTACTCAATCGAATTACTAGCACTGGCTGATAAATTTTAGTTCGAAATTGGAATTTTGTCAAGTTTTTGGAGATGTTATCGTGGAGTAACCTCATATCTACTGTGGGGACACATTATTCTATGCAGGAGTAAAGTTCAATTTGCTTGTAATTCAAACAGCACCTGCAGCTTGACTTGACCGTGTAATTCTAGTCGAGGTTTCCTTGGAAAAAGTTCTATGAACGAGTAAAAGAACGGCGGTAATATACCACTGTCCTCACTCTACTGAAGACATAACGCCCCAAAATCGTATGCGCACAATGCTATTCTTTCAGAGTGTAATAATATAACCTTGTTCAGAAAGCATCATTAAGTTTTAGCTGTGAAGTACAAGTAGATACATACCTGCTCACGCGAATTCACATCTCCCATGTACGTGACAAGATTCATATCCGGTGCCCATTGCGCAAATTCTTTCTGCCATGCCGCCATTGTTGATAACGGTACAACCACAAGAAAAGGCCCATACAGATCATACTTGTAAAAGAGGGCGGCCAAGAACGCAATCGACTGGATCGTCTTACCCAAACCCATTTCATCTGCGAGAATACTGCAAAACAAAGAAAATGAACGCGTGATGAAGTATGAACGATCAACGAAAACCAAAAACATACCATGAGTTGTGCTTGCACCAAGCGTGCAGCATCCAATTCAATCCTTCAAGCTGATAGTCGCGTAAAGTGTGCTCCTTGCCTTCAATTCTGGAGGAAAGATGGCATCTCGTCAAATTTCACGAACTTAGGCCTCTTACGTAACACCTAAATGAACAAGAAGATGTTTGAGTATATCAACAAGAAGCGAGTAGTAACCGTAATTTAAAACACTGACCGCCGCGTTTTTGCTGGGAGTACGACAGTTCTCAAGCCTACGGTGATAAGCTTCAATCTTATCCGGAGGGAGTAGTTTGGCATCCTCCCATGTACAGTCGGAATACGAAAGGCCACACCATTTCACGTAATACTCAGTCGCTTCGACCCCTTCAGCATTCCGATCTCGAGACACCTGCAACGACCGCCGATTTCATGGATGGCACTGTAGAACGAAAAAAGTATTACCTGATGAGCAACTATTCGCTCAACCTTTAAGGTACTCTTCGCAGAGCTCCTCGCTCATTACTTGCTCACATTCATAGAACTCTATATATTCTTTATCTGCTGTACGCTTCCTATATTGAAAATAGTTTTGAGTTGAGATGAAGAAGTATAGAATGCAAATAAACTCACCAATCGTCCATTTCTTTCTGCTTTTTGATGAAATTATACACTTTTTTGGCTCCGTTCGCACCCATAGCGGCGATAGAGGCCTCTGATTCCCAAGTGTTATGCAAATGACTCCAGCCCACCCACCTAAAATGACATTAAAAAATAGCTAGACTGAAAGAACATTCACATCACCTAGCCGGCCTTAAGGCATCAATTTGCACAACTACCTGACTCGAACCAGGACTTTCCAAATGATAATGAATGGTCTAACTGTGTCTGCTTTGACGATATCTTTACCAACGCTCAAGAGTCATGACGAAGAAGAATTATCAAGGGTAATTCATAGAATTTCTTCAACTTTATGTGAATTACCATTCCTCATAGAGTTGAGGAGTTCCTGCAGGCCTTTTCAAAACTATCCTCGAAGACCAACTTGTTTCTGAGGCAAGAAGTAGCCTCAAAACGTTGAAAAACCACATGGGCACTTGTTAAACTGAACCGTTCAGAGTGAAGAGTGCCCGAATTGATGCTGTCGATAAACACTATGAACTGCAACCGTGGTTAATCGTACTTCCAGTGCCACTTTGGACAATGAAGTCACAGGGTGGGTTTTACCAACAACTTCAATCAAGAATTTGACTAAAACAACCATAAGCTGGAAAAGGTCCGGGTACCATACGGAAGGTCAAAAGCTTCGTCAACTCTACGACCAAGTTGACGTATAACGACGCCCGTATTAACAATCACAGCATCTCGAAGGCAGCGGAGGAAGTCACGCACGGGGTCTAATTCTGACCTCGTCGACATTCATATCCGTCTCCCTGCATGTGAATGCGCCGTTCCCTCCTCGCTTCTTGAGCCTGGCGCGTCAATTCGTGGTGAGCATTGAGCCTTACAGCACCCAGTCCCAATAGTGTCAGGGCAGAAAATCTCAACTACAAGCCGTCATCAGCCCTGACTTGAATGGCCACATGCTACCTATCGGAATACAAGATACCCATCCAACCGAAAACCAGCAGGACAGCATCTGCTGCATTGAAGGCGAGACATTGGCAGTTATCGCCCAGTCTGCCTACTGTCTCTGAAACATTTCACTTGAGTCATCCTCAACAGAAATGGCAGAAGAATAATTGAAACAGCCATGCAACGAAGCGGTTTTGCAGAGGGTTCAGCAAGATCGACCATACACGGTTACAAGACTCATTGAAATTACACGAGAGTGCGAGATGTCGCTTTGTCTTACGCTCATTGACTTGAAAAAGGCTTCCGACTCTATGGAGACAGAAGCGGTCGCCGAAGCCGTGGGCAACCGGGTGTAGCTACTTGCAAGGAGCGGCGACTTCACAACCGAAATTTATTTCTCTACAGAGTGATAATCGAAATGAAAAAGCAACAGAGCGACATCATCTCGCTCAAACTTTTTACCACTCATGCACCAACTGGTATGGGAAGACATCAGAGACAGCTGGCAACTATTACGCCACTTTCCGCCACTCTAAGATTGTGATTACACCAAAACAAACGGATTACACGATTATTGGAAGTCGAAGTGGGAGACTCCAGACAGAAAGCACTCAACGATAGACGATGCGCTCTTGCAGCAGAAGGCACGCTTTGAACGGCCCAGCCAGCGCTTAGAGTGTGCGTTTCGAGCCTCCCACCGATGTGGCTTCGTCCCCTTGTCGGTGTCTCGCGCAGACAGAGCGCACGTCAGAGCTGATGATCGTCATCACCTGAGACTAGCACCATCCCGGAAATCACGTAGAAGGTGAGAAATTCCATCTTGTATTTTGCAGTTTCCGCTTCGTTTTTCTCCATCTGCAAATCACTGTCACCCACCTTCACCTCCACTGAGGCCCTTTTACCGTGTTTAAATCCTGCACTTTAAGGAGGACAGCGAGTTTCGATTGATTTCAATTGCACAATGGGCCGTTTGTTAGTGAAGCTAACGAAGGCGATGTACATGAGTATTGGACTGAGCGATTCCATTTGAGTCCATCAACCATTCCTATCTAGGCCGGTTAATTGATATAATGAGCGACCTAATTCATAATACTCGATAAGACAAGCGCATTGAATACATTTCAGTACGACGGTCGAAGAAGCAGGAAAGAAGATTCAGCGAACTCGAAAAACAGTTGTACTCCTTAAGCTTGACAGGAAGGCATGAATAAGTACTAGGAAGTTGAGATCACATACTTGATAAGGAATTGTTGCTCTAGTGAGCCGGATGACGGATCATCGGGTCGCCTTTTTCTGCCACATTATAGCACGTGGTGGCCGATCCCAGTTAGCTCTGCAACAATCCCAATTCTTGGATTTATACTCTGAAAAGTTCATCCCTTTAAGCCGCAGTCACAGTCTGCCATCTTGCCATTTGATACGTATCTTCTACACTTGAATTGCAACATGGTTGCAAAAGATGACCACGGCGTAACGGACCACCAAGACGTCTAGGAAAGGACATCTCCCTATGGAAGGACGATTATGGACGATTAAAAAAAAGTACTTGCAATTAGTAATGCAACGAAAACCAGTCAAAAATCGATTACGCACACGCTCGATGGTTTCTGCGTTGACTGCTACTGAAGACGGCGACTTCTTGTCATCTTCCCATTCGAGAACGTCATTTTCATCAATCTGAAACAGGGCCACGAATTTGAATGAATCGTTAAAACTGCATTAGCAAGAATTAAAATTCACGAACGTCTTCATCAGATCCCTTTTCCGTATAATCCACTGTTGACCGTGAAGATTTCGTTGCACGAGAACGAGTCGAAGTTGAGCCCTTCTTGGATTTTTGCTGAGAAGCCGCCTTGTGACTTTTACGCTTGTAGTCCTCAGAATCAGATGATGAGTCCTCACTTTTACTCTCATCTTCCTGCAAGTAGGCATTTTAACAAGTCTCCCAACAAATATGGGTACTAGTAATCCACATACACTGCTTCCGCATGTGATACAGAGCTACCAGATTGCGTGCAATCTAGGTGAAGCCTTCATACCTAGTCTTGCGGTGCCCTATCCCCCTAAGCCTGTTTCTCATACCCATCTTCTGAGAAATGGTCGATTGATACGAAAAAACGCAGATTCAAGCGTCTACAGACCCGAATCCACCCTCTTCCCCTGTTATCAACTTTCTTGACGCGGCTTTCTCGAACGGACAGCTCGAGAAGACTTCAGTAGTTGACTTGACAACACACAAGTTTGAACTATTGCATAGCTTATAACTTATCTGAAGAAGATTCCCAACCCTTCACAACCCAGCGAAACAAGTCAGCCGCCATCCCTACAGCACAATCACTGTAGCTCTAACCCTAGCATGGTAAAACGTACAGTAAAATTGATTACGATCATGGTTTTGAGGTAGGCACTTTGCATTATGGAACCGCTCCAACTGTAATGCAAATGGGACAACTAAAGGCTTCACAAAAATACAGATGTAGATTTGCCAACAATGGCATTAAAGACTACCTTGGAAACTAAAAATTTACTAAAAAAAATGGTGTTAAAATATATATCAAACCTCTGAGGGACTGCTGCTTTTACGGCCCCTATCCTTTTGTTTCGACCTTGCAGAACGCCGCAAATAGTTGCTATCTTCCAGCAACTAAAAAAAGCAACACGTTACGCCGCAGAAATTTATCGCCGTGGAACACACCTTTCTGGTTTTTTCATCTAATCGAC